AACCACCACCATTTTCAAGCATGAGATTCCACCCCAAATTTCTTCCTGGTGTCTGTTTTAGCATTTGGGTTGAAAACAATTTTCACCTTCCAGCTTCCCGCATCCCTGACCCCAGCATCACAAATTTTCTTCACCAGCAACAGCAACCAGCAGCATTTTTAAATAATAAAATTAAAACCTGAATCTCATCCGATCACCCATTTAAGCATTTGGGTTTCAAAATATGTTGGCCACCTGCCCCCCACCTACATCCCTGCCCCCAGCATCAGAAAAATTCTGGTGTTGCCGGACACCACATATGTTCGATTTTTTAAACAGCCACCAGAACCATTTTTAAGCATGAAATTGCACTCCAGGCTTCTGGTTTTTAGCATTTGGGTTGAATTTTTTTTGTCCTCCCAGCCCCCTGCATCCCCGACTCCAGCATCAGGAATTTTCTTGGCTGGGACCAAATATGTTTGATTTTTAAAAACAGCAAGTAGTACCATTTTCAAGTATGAAATTCCACCCCAGATCTGGTCTCAGCTTCCATTGTAGCATTTGGGCTGAAAAAAAATTGGCCTCCCGACCTCCACGTCCCTGACCCCGGGGGTATGAATTTTCTTCACCAGGGCTAAATATGGTTGATTTTTAAAAAGAGCAACCAGAACCTGTTTTAAGTATCAAATTCAACTCAGAAACTTATCCCGGCATCTGTTGTAGCATTTTGTAGAAAAAAAAATTGGCTTCCCAGCCCCTTTTGTCCCTGACCCCGGCATCCGAAATTTTCTTTGCCAAACACATTATGGTCAATTTTTAAAAAGAGCAACCAGCACCATTTTTCATCATAAAATTAAATACTAAATGTTATCTCGGTGTCCATTTTAGCATTTGAATTTAAAAAGATGTTGGCCTCCTAGCTCCCACGTCCCTGACCCCGGCATCAGGATTTTTCTTTGCAGGGCACCAGATATGGTTGATTTTTAAAAACAGCATCCAACAGCATTTTTAAGCACGAAATTCAGCTCAGAATCTCATCCCGGCATCTGTTTTAGCATTTGGGCTGAAAAAAATTTGGTCCTCCTGCTCCCCCTCCCATCCCTGACTCTGGGATCTGGAATTTTCTTCCCTGAGCACCAGAATGATCAATTTTTGTAAACAACCAGCACCATTTTGAAGCATGAAATTCTACTCCATATCTCATCCCAGCATCCGTTTTAGCATTTGGGTTGAAAAAAAAAATTGCCCTCCCTCCCCCCACTTCCCTGACTCTGGGCCGTGATCCATTACTGGGCTTTGAGCCCTTTGGAACTGGGCTGCAGAAGTGCATGTGTGCATGTGAATGCATCCCCACTCACATGAGCAACAGGTGAGGGTGTGCGTGTACAGTCCATTTGTGTGCGCAGCGGGCACATGTGCCTATTGCTTGTGTGAATGGAGCTGTGCACGCCTGGTTCCCCACCACTTATGCAAAACCATCCCTTCTCCCTGCCTATGTGGGTCCACAAAGCCAGAAAGGTTGAGGAACTCTGGACTAGTACATACATATGGAACTCTGTAGAAACTGAGCTCAATAATATCTATCTTTGAGTACTCCCTTTTATCTCCATCCTATTCAGCTATTTATCTATAAAGCAGTGTTTCTCAAGCTTGGAAACATGAAGATGTGTGGACTTCAACTCTCAGAATTCTGGCTTGGTGACTGGAGAATTCTGAGAAATGAAGTCAAACATCATGCTTCCAAGTTTGAGAAATATTGCTTTTAGTAACTGCAATTCACTCTGTGTAGGTATGTGTGTAGTTGCAAGATATATATACCATATATTCTCTTAGCTGCAACTGACATTGTGTGTATATAAATATAAATAAAAATGAATATTAAATGCAAATTCCATCTTCTCTTTAGTTTGCCTACCAGATTGCTCCCCATTAACATTATCTACTTTAAAGCATCATAGGGGATGGCTTCCATTATAGTGTTACAGCATTCTGACAACTTTTAAATGATTTATTGGTTAAGAATGCTGTAGAAATTTAAAATCTGTATTTAACTACTTAATAGAGTGAATAACAGCTGTGCCTTTTTAAATATATTATGTGAAACAGAACAGGCAATCCTCAACTTATTACCACAATTGGGACTAGAATTTCTCTTCCTAAGCAAGCTAGTTGTTAAGGGAGTCACACACAGTTTTAAAACCTTTTGGCTATGGTTAAGCAAATTACTGCAGTTGTTAAATGGATCATGTGATTGTTAAGCAAATCTGGCTTTCAGTGCCACTGTAACTTTGATCACTAAACAAATGGTTTTAAGTTTTTTCCATTTTTTCTTTTTCTTTTGGTCAAGTTTTTGATACCCCTCCCCGGCCAGCTGGATGGGGGGGTTAGGGGTCACCACAACTTGAGGAACTGTATTAAAGGGTCGCGGCATTAGGAAGGTTGCGAACCACTGCTTTAAAGCTTTGCTTACTTTTTGATCTACATTTGAACTGACTAGTTGAAGGCTGGTCTATCCTATCATCCCTTGCTGGATTTTTATAAAGTTCTTCACTTTGGAACTCTAAACCATTTTTATTCTTTCACTGTAAGGAAGCCAATGGTGAGAAAACTCACTCTCTGATAGTGAAAGCTATTCAATCTGATTTACACCTATATTGGATTTTACTATAAGGATTTTGTTTTTATTAGATTTTTAAAAGCTTGGTCCTATTTTTTTAACTATTGTTGGGAAAATTCCTTTTCTTTTCATTACTTTATATTCTGGGAAATTTTACATCAAGTTTTCTCTGTGGATTTTTGTTATGGTATGTCTTTTTTTTTTTTGTCCTTAAAATCAAGAACTGTTTGTCTTTACAATACGTACAAAAAGAGATAAAGCTCTCTGGGAAGCCTTTGGGGGAAAAATGCTATCTCACAAACTATATTTGAAAATTTAAATAAAAAATTTGATGGGTCAGCAAAGGTTTTGAATCAATTCCAGGATATTACTCAAAGGTAGAGAATAACAGCTGGACCTGATTTGGAGTCTGATGGATTAGAACCTGGATTGGAGCTGCCAATCCTGAAGGTGACAGTGCCTCATCCGAGAACTGCAGGCTGTGTCGAAAAGGCTGAAAGGGCACAAATACAAGAAATTCAGAGATAATGACATTGATGAGGGATGGACTGGACTTCCTTGGTAAAATGAATCGACTTTGGAGGATGGATTTACTATACTTAACCAGACAATAATTGAGAAGAAATGATGCTTACAGGGAGGCTTCCTGAACAATGGGTGCTGCAGAGATATTTACAATAAAGACTTATGACTCTGGGAAATGAGATGTTAAAATCTTAAAAGTTTTATTAAGAACCAAACAAGGATATTTGATCCTGGATGCATTAAAAATAATGATTGCAGTGACCTGTAGTAGATAATAAGAAGCTGTTGTAGACTTCCTACGAGTCAGTTACAATAATAGATTGTTAACATAGGCCTTTGAAGTTTAACTTCACTGTTGGTTTAACCTGCTAACTATTTTTTCTTTACATTTATAATAGATAGATGTATAACAGGTAAAGCTGATTGCAAATAGATATAGATGTTTCTAAATCCTGGATCTGATTTGGAAGGGGAGGAAGTTAATAATTGTTGCAAACAATATAGGGATATGAGTCTTTTTAATCCACATTTTTAATGTTTTTGTCTAATTTTGTTGTATTTTTGTAAAATTTCTTTTCTTTTTTGGGAAGTTTGTATAACTTTTTGAATTAAAAAAAATACATAGCAGCTGAATTTAAAGCCAAATTTTGCTTCCTAAACATCCAAATATATTATATACATGCCCTTTTATTTAATCCTCTCAATATATAAAACATCAACCACCCTTGCTGCTTGCTCTTTAATCAGGTTTCCATATTAAGAGTAATAGTTTTGAGAAAGCCGAGTGGGAAGCGTTAAATGAAAAGTTTACTACCTATATTTTTTCAGTTCATCTAGGTCAGCGGTTCCCAACCTTTTCTATACCCTGCGCCCCTAGAACGCTTCTGATATATTCTTGCACCCCTTACAAATGTTCGACATAACGGCAACAAATTATGCATATACACTGTAATTTTGGAAACTTCTAAACCCACGTTTTCGAATATCGACTCACATCCACAGGGGATGCAAGCACCCCCGGTTGGGAACCCGATTTAGGTATTAGCCAGATTGCAATCAATTAAAACAATTGGAAAAAGTCACTGTCTTCCTTCATGTGTTTCTCCCTTGTTTTAAAATATAATCATTGGAATTTGACCTACACAATTATAATTACAACTTGCATGGAGTTAATAGAATGGGGTAGGAGTCAGTGTCTAAGTTCAGAATAGTTTAAGAGAGTTTAGATATTATTTTCCAACTATAGGAATTGATAGACAAAGACCTGTGGCGTTTTCTCATTGTTATAAACTCAATGGTTCAATTTATTATTTTTCTTAATAACTCTTTTGCTATTAGATAGATAGCAAAATTTGCTACTGAAGCCCCATTACTGGCTCAAATAGGGCTCAGTAATCAAAATATAACACAAGGACCTATTAAACAAATTTCAGGGTGGAGAAATAAAATAGTATTGAGAAATTCTGCTCAGAAAGAACAGAACAATGTTTCCCAGCAATAGCAAAATTGCATTATACCATCTTCCTCTTCTTCCAACAAGCACTCTTGATTTTTGCCTCGGTGTACAGAAATTTGATCCAAGAAATGAGAACAAAATGATTAAAATCTTGCACCTGATGGATATTGAGTGACAATCTCTTAGGATCCTAGTAAGTAGATACGATGCCACTTGTGCTTGTGCAACTGTGCTTCGGTGTCAAATACTCTTGATGAATTCTTGTGATAAGTAAAACAATAATGAAAACACTATTTAAATGTGTACTTTGTTAAAAGTGTAACATGTAGCCGAAGGTGTGTGTGCTTTAAATTTCCAATTTCTAATTCGATTGTATCTTCCCCGTTGCTTTTTTAAATATTCAAATGATGACAAGTTTCCATACTTCATACAACTAGATTTAATAAGTTATTACAGAAAAAAAATAATTCCAAACTACAAAGTTGAAGCAGTTGTAAGCAATAGCAGCGTGGAGCTTCATGTTTAGTCACAGTACTGCAGTTCCATACAAAGCATTAGTCCAAGCCAAAAAAAATAAAAAATAAAAGGTAAAAGCCTTTTAGGGTTACTAGCAAAACCAGTCTAAAGAGAACATGTAATAAAAGATATGGTACACTGAAAATTAGTCAGTTAAAAAAAACAACTACAGAGATCTTAGCTGTGAACACTCATCTCCATTATTTTAGACAGCAAATTACAAATACCTAATACTTTATACCCCAACAGAACAACATCCAGAAACAAACCAGCAAAAAAAGCAGAAATGATTTTCCTGTATTAGCACCCTGAATATCTACTTGTTGCTAAACAATGTTAAATAAATTTAAAATGTGCAGAATAACAAAACAGCTCTTACTCTTCTCCTGTTCAGGAGTAAATCATAGCATGAATATTAGAACAGACTGTATGGTTAAGACAGAAACACTACAACAGTAGAAATTAAGAAAACTTTTTAAGTGGAAAAAAAGGAATGCTGACATTATACAAACTGGTGTAAAAAGCAACTACATAAAAGGCAGGTTTAACAAAAATAGTTTAAAAAACCAATCTGTGACTAATCTTTCACTCGTATCTTGCAAGTAGAGATGTCACAATACTGAAATATTAGCATAGGAGATTTTCTCCTAGTAAAGCACAGTATTTTGTACTACTCTAACAAAGATAATGAAATCTATAATAACTGCATATTTGTAATACATTTTTTTAAAAAACCTGCTTTCCTACTAGGCAAGTGTGTAGGCAGGAGTATAAGCACACACTCACCTCACTCCATTCTTGCAGGAGTTTGAAAAAATTCTCCTTCACTTCTACTGTATTATGCTTTTTCAATTTGTGTTTGTTCCAACCATAGAACCTAGTTAGAGTCTAAATTTTACTATTTGAAATTGCCTATACATTACTTACAAAGAACTCACAAAGGCCAACTCCAGATATTTACAGAAGACATCAAGGGACAGCTTCCCTTCAGCTGAAGTACTCATAAAAACAGATAAAATCCCATGACTGATTTATCTGGAGAAGGTCATTGTATCTTCTGTTTATGTAACACCAGTTTGAGTTGCAGGATCTAAAGCAAGGCTTTTCAAAGTTGGTGTCTTGAAGATGTGGGGACTTCAACTTCCAGAATTCCCCAGCCACGCTAGCTGCACAATTCTGGGAATTGAAGTCCACATATCTTCAAATTGCCAAGTCTGAGAATCACTGATCTAAAGGAAGGGATAACAGTACCCAGCTTCCACACAGAGGTTTTGCTAGTATTGCAGTAAAGGGGTAGGACAGGCAAAGGTGGAGATGAACTACAAAAAATGATGCAATGTTATTTTTATAGCAGCAACAGATGCTGTTCTTACGCTGTAAGAGGCCTAACACAAGAAAGGGAGAAATATACAGGCAGCTTGAAAAAAGTGCTCAGATCAGGTAATAAGGGTTCCTACACATGCATTAGATAGCACTAACTATGAGAAACTTACACTGTATGGTACACTGTAACATTATGTAGATACTATACAAATTTCCTCCATTTGTTCTGAGTTACCATGTAAAGAGGCGCAGGGAAATGCAGCATGAAGGATAGGTTTAATAAATAAATAAAAGCATGGCAGATCACCCAGAAGCCATTTGGGAGAGATTTAAGGGAATAGTTCAAAAACAAAAACGTCCATAAAGAGGATGGATGGTTGAGTACGGAGGAGGTGACTTAGCCAAGCCTTAATGCTGCGTAGTTCCATTTATTTTTCACCCGTGCACCCACTATGCAACAGTACTGGATATGCCCATGGTAATGGTGAGGAAGCAAACTGGTAGGATGCTAAACAGCCAAGATTGTAGACCTGTTATTTCTACGGATTGGAGTGAATTACAACAGCAACAGTGTTTATTAACATTGGTGTTGTACAAATCTAGACAGCGAACTGGTACTGTGACATCCCTATTGTCTTCCTAAATCATTCTGATAAAGGAAAAAGCTTCTAAAAAATATCACATCATTTTCCTGCTTCATTCTGTAATTTTATTGCCCAATTATTCATTACAGTTTTTCAATCATTTCACATATCCAACCATTTTCACACCATTGTAAACCACATCAGCAAGTTAATACATAAAGCTTTGCATTTCAAAAAACTAGACACTTTAGTAACAATATTACAAAGGTTTTTAGCTTCAAAAATAACTGAAAATGAAAAAAATAAACTTTTAAAGAATTAGCATCATAAAATTAATTTATTCCAAGTAAAAATACAAAATAATATTAATGACATTGACCAGATATGAAAGTCTCTTCCAGAAACAACTATATTAATGGTTGAGAAAGCATTCCTTAAAGAAAATCTGAAATAAAAATGAAAAATATGTCAATGTTTAAATTTCTCTTAGCAAAAAATCTTTCTAAAAATAACAATGAAAATCTGTCTCAGTACAAAGGCTACATTACTATTGAAAAAATACCAGCATGAAGAAAAGGTACATATTTGACAGTAGAAAAATGATCTTAGTGAATCACAATGTCTAAAGTTTGCAATGAAAATAAATTTGCAATAAAGATTTATGCCTTTTTTCTTTTCTTTTTTCTTTTTTATACAAACAGTACAAACAGTATTGCACATAACAACAAATATTCGAGGTTAAGTTGCTTTCAAAAAGAAAACCGACTAGTTCAAGTCTCGCATTGAGGGAAGGCCACAAGTGGGCCTGTGGTACCCGGGGGCTCCTTCATCCAGTTGCAGTTCAGAACAATTTGTTTTAAAAAATAACTTCTTTTCTGGAAGGACCCTCTCAGAATAATGGGGTAAGATATTAACAACCGGGGGAAGGGGGGGGCACATTCATTTACAAAACAAAAGGGGAACTTGTTATAATTTAATAAACTAAAAATTATCTTTAAAAAAATACAAACAGAAGAACTCTCACAATTCTGGTCAGTCGTGCATAATCGCTTGATTATAAATATACAAATTAAGGGCAAAACAGGTTTTTCACCTTCTGTTCACAACTTCCAGCACCAAAGCAATTTGTTTTCAAATTTCCTTGCTGTATTCATTTTAATCTCATTGTTTATATAACTTCCAGCATCTCTCCCCCCCCCGTTCTCCTTTCTTTCCAGCTATGTTTGTGTGTGGAAAAGGGACATTTCTTCATAAATGTTTGTTTCACATAATTAGGTAGACTTCGGTAGGATAGCTATGATCTTCAATACAGTTATAAAGCTCTAACTTCATTTTCAAAAAAGCAAATAAGCATGAAAAAAATAAAGTTACCCATCTGTTAAATCATTTCCTCACAGAATTAAATTAATATATATTTTTTTCTGAATAAACTTACTTAGAAAATATTTTCTTTCCTATATTTCAAAATTGAGGTATTGCAAAAGATCATGTCAGTCAGAAAGCATGCCTTTTTTTCTTTAAAAAAGAATAATCTGCCAACTATTGAAAACTGTCTAGTTACAAAAAGTAGTGCATAACAAATCTTGTATAGATGAAAAAAAGAAGGGAAAGGAAAAAGAAAACCCCAAACAAAACAAAATAGATTGCTGGGCTAGATAAAGCAATATCACAAAAATGCCCAGGAGAAATTGCAAAAGGGATACCAAGAAGAATGAAAAATTTTAAACCAGTAAAAAACTATTTTTTTTTTCAACAGAGAAAGATTTTCTCCCCCTCCCCCCCAAGCCAATAATTCCAACTGAACACTAAAAGAAAATGTAGAAAGTTACAACATTAACAAGGCCATCACAACACTCAAAACGGGGACATTTCAACATCTACTATGCAGCGCCATATCCACTCAAGACTGTCCCCAGACCTCCAAAACTAGGGATGGGGTGGGGAAAGAACAAACCCACAGAAAACCCAGAAAAATAATGTACACATTCTCACATTTTCATAAATAGCACACTAATATGTGTTTATGTGTTTGCCTTGTAGCCCCATATTATATGCTAAAAAAATGTCCACTGTTCAGATTAGATCTCAAATATATTCAAGCTTCACAGGATACATCCAGGATTTAAGAAATTAAATATCATACCCAAGGTAATTTTTGTATGCAGACATTTCTTTAGCACCACTTTTCCCAATCCAAATGTGCCCCGTTTATCAGCCACTATTTAAGCTGGTAGTGTACATATGCTATTGTGAGCTCTTTGGTTTTCTGGACATGGGCTGCAGCTACATAAATAGGTGCAAGCATTTATGAGATAGGAACTAAGAGCTCAAAATTTGTTTTGTGAGTGCGCATATGTATTTGTTTCTATGGTTGAACTTTCAAAAGAGTGTGAATGGTAGACATAGAGGCTTAAACAGTTAGTTTGATCACAGTACTAGACATAATCACTTTACTATATAAAATAAATTGCACAATATAGAACAGAGCACCGCAAAGTACTTCGTCTATCATTCACAAATCTGTTTAAGGATATTTCTACATCTATTCTTTTTAAAAAATATCTGTTGTAATATAGGTGATACGGCTATGGGCTGATTTTAATTTCAGAAGCATCTACACAGACTTAGACATGCCTTCCTCCAGTCAGTAACCTGTGTGCGTATGTGTGTGTGTGTTTTAAATTATTTTATTGAGTACTTTGTAGCCTATATAGAATCTTAATTGGTGCACTGTGGGTAGATTTTTGTATTAGATATCTATAAAAAATTTATTGCATGCGTCAACCTGATTAAACATGCAGTCAAAACTATTGACCTTCCTTGGAAGCTTTCTGAATGCTCTACTGATCTTTCAGCAGCCATTACTGTTTTAAATCACATAATTATCTTTTTAAATGATACCCTAGCTTGAATAGAGTAATGTGGTATTAGTAATACCATCTTAATAGCAGCAAAAGCTATTGCAGCATACATTTACATAACACTAAAAGGCCTAAACAAATAGGAAACCCTCAGCAAAATAGAAAAGGGATGGGGAGATGGGAGTGGAGAAAATGTGATCCAGCTTATGAGGTATCATCCTTATCAGTAAAAATAGAGAGCAACTAAAGATTGTTTAGGGTTTTTCCTACTCTGAATGATTGCTGAATATCCACTGTAAATTTTTGCTACATCTGCCACCTACTTGTGAGTGTTACCTTTGGTAAATCATGTGCTAGGGGCAAATCAAAGTTTCTGAAAATAAGTGCATGCTCCAGTTTTAAAATAAAAGTACATAATTTAAAAAAATCTTAATCACATATACACCAACCTAGTGGAGGCTGATGACCATAGCAGTCTACTTATTGTTAGCCGTGACAAGTCTCAGGTCAGAAATTAAGGTACCAAGCAGATGTTTGTGTGAATCAAAGTGCAAAATCAGTACAGTTACACTCTGCTAGGCTTGTATTATACTGGACATAGTGTTCAGTAATGTGACTGTAAATAATCATAATCATCATCATCATTATAATCATAACCATCATCATAATAAAAAGACCCATCTCTTCATTAAAGTCAAGGATGAATGCACAGATTTCCAGAACACAAAAGCCCTGAGGCAGCACTCCTTTCCCCTTCAATCCAGTCGGCTCCAGTACTGCTGGCCTTCGGCCCGGGCCTCAGCTCCAACGGAAGGGCACGTGGCGGGGCCGGTCGCCTCCTTCCTTCACGAGCGGCTTGTGGAACTCTCGTCCAGCCCGAGAATGAATGCTCGCCCAACAGTATTCACAGTAATACTGCAAGCAGGTAACATTGGCACAAAAGAATGGAGCAAATTTTCCACCACAGCGAGTACCCTGGCATTCATCACACATCTGATCATCAAGCACATATGGCTTTACTTCCACCTATAAAAGGAGACAGGTACAGAGTCAAAATAAAGAGCATTTGTGAATGACCCTTGCACGTCAGAATTGACTCTAGTGCAACCTCTCACAAAGTAGACAAGAGCCAGAATTCCCCAGCTTTAAAAGAAAGAGAAACAGTTTTTCAGCTTTAAGACATCACATATATTGAACAGAAGGGGTAATTTTAATTGGTATATCTTGTCATATCATGCTGCTGCAAATTTAAAAAGTTGTATCAGAAAAAATACATTTCTATGTTTCACAGTATTTGTAGAAAAGCTTGGTTTTTGTTATTTAAATTACCAAAGGAATTCTGCCTTTAATTTAATCGTTGTTCAAATATTACTGTCATTTTTTTCTCTATTACAAGGAATGTTTAGTATCTCTTTTTTCTCAAGTTTAAAGTCACTCCAGATTTGAACTGAAAGGCCTATATACAGATATTCTTCATTTACTGACCACAATTGGGATTGGCAACTCTTTTGTAAGTGGTGCAGTTGTGTGATGTCATGACTGTGATGATTTATGATATCAATTCCAGCTGTGGTCATTAACTGAATCACCATGGGTCGTTAAGCACAATGTCATATGACCATAACTTGTGACTTCCTCCAGATTCTCCATTGGCTTTGCTTGTTTGAAGCTGGTTGTGAGGATCACAAATGGCAATCACTGTGACCATCATAAATGCACGCCAGTTGTCAAGCGCTATGATGGCCACTAATTTATGGACCAGTTCTAAGACTAATTTTTTACTGCCATCGTAAGTTCAAAGAGATACTGAACAAATAGTCAGAAAGTGAGCACTATTTGTGAAACTATCAAGTATATTTGAGTATATTCCATGTTAAAATATAATTTGTTTTAATATTCTATTAGAAGTTCTACCTTTCACATACTGCCTTATTTTTCTTGTAAACATATTAGACACTATGATCAAAACATGTAATCCTACCTGTTCATTTTTAAAAAATGTACTAATTTATATTATAGTCTTAGCCTCTGTAAAGCAACTTTTAGCCACATTGGATAATCCTGGATTATAGATCAATGAATGATCCAGCTTCACCAGGCATCGATGCAATTCGCCTGCAGAGTTAAGCCAACCAAAAATGTTTTACTTACCCGTTTATCGATGTCATTGTGTTGGAGCTGGACAAAGCGTGCACTAATAGCAGCAATATAGCTCTGCTGATTGGAGAAAGCCACTCTACCAGCACCTTTGGGGTACTTTAACTCTGGGTCTGTATCAATGCCAGCATAGCAGACTCCTCCATACAAACGATCCATAATCATAGCTAGTTCAACTATAAGAGAACATGAATATGGTAAAATGGCCATAAATTTAAACTTTAGAATTCTCTGGTACTTCTATACTGTTAATGTTTTTACTTATTTCTTAGGAAGATGATCCCTTAATTGTCTTCCATTAATTATAAAACTTTGAGAGCAATGAGGAGGGGGAAAAGGAGTTAGAAAGACCTTCCTCAAATTGAACATGGAGTAAACACCCAAGAAATCTAATACAGAACACCTCTGATCTATCACCCAAGAGACAAACTTAAAAAGCAAAATTTGATTAGCCATAAGAAAAGAATACCACCAGCATATTATTATAACTAAAAAATAAGTTAAACTGCAATTTCAACCATTAGAAGAAATAGGTAGTATTTCAATATATTTTTTCAGGAGTGTATGTTTGAGATAATTAATCTAAATATAAAATTTACTTTGGATACCAAATATCCAAAGGAAGAGATTATTGCCACCACTTCCCAAATGTCTTCCTAAATAGCTTGAACTAAAAACTGAAACGATGAGATATATGACATATTAATAAAAATAGAATAGATACATCAAAATCAGTATCCTGCATTTGAAAAAACCTTGAGTTGATTTTAAATAATCAAACGGAACTAGAGTAAAGCAATCTAGGTATCAGCTATGATTAAAAAGGCCAGTTTAAAGTAGCAGACAATAAAATTTGAGAAAGCAATATAAAAGGACTAAATCTAAACATTATTAAAATTATTTAGACAATGGACAAAACTTAAAAGAAACAAATACAAATAACATAGCAAACAAGGCCATTAATTAAACATGTTACAAATATTGAGACAAAAGCTAAAGTATTAGCCAATGCACAAGGAAAAGTTTCTCTTTTGAAACATATTGTTTTTATTACTGGATTATAGTAAAAGAAATCAATTTCAGTGATTCTGTCAATAGCTGATAGTAATAGATGGTTGTATACAGCACATAGTCTAAAGAAATAGATGTAACTAATTATTTGAAAGAAGTCTCAGTTCAACATTTTTAGAATAATAGCAGAGGTAATTCTCAATTACCGACTACAGTTGTGACTAGCAATTCCATTGCTAAGTGATGTGGTCATAAGTAAAAGTCATGTGATCATGCAGACTTACAATGTCAGTTCATCTGTGGTTCAATGTCATTTCATCCAGCTGTGGTTATTAAGTGAATCACCACAGGCCGTTAAGCACATTACTGGACAGTGACTTGTAACTTTTTGTTAGCTTTCCTAATGAAGGTCACAAATGATGATGGGACAATGGGACACTGTGACCATTGTAAGTGCACGCCAGTTATCTAGTGCCCAAATTGCAATCACATGACCACAGAGAGTTTGCAATGGCTACAGGGACATATAATTTTTTTGTTCAATGTGCTTGTAAACTTTTCATGGTCACTGAATGAGTGGTGGATAAGGGAATGATCTGTAGTTATTCTCAAAGACAGGAAGTATCATACAGGCATTTTCCAATACACCTATCCCATTAGTGAACCAAGATACTAAAATATGCATGTCAACATTGGTCAATAGATTACATTCAATGATTGGTAATTATATTAATCTGGATTAAATTGGATTTATCAGGAGCAAACAGATTGGAAATCCAATTAGGTATATTCTTAACATTCTATATTGGATTTAAAAAACTGGCCTTTTTATTCTAGATGCTTACAAAGTCTTCAGTATGTTGGCACAGTCATTTTTGCTTAAGACGTGAGAAAAAATACATATTTGGAGTTAAATTTATAAAATTATATTTTAAATTAAATGTGATTGTAAGACTTAAAGATATAGATTCACAACATATAATTATACAGAGAGGAACAAAATCGGTTTACCCATTCTCTGCTCCAATCTATGTCACTGAAAGCCCTTTTATACAATTTAAACAATAACATTGGTAACAACAGTTATTGATAACAGTAACAACCTCCTGAGGAAGCAAGTTATACATGCTCTGAGGATACTGTTGTAATGTTGCCTAAGTCAAATCAGAAATTCCCTTTAGTCAAAGAAGAAAAATTAAACTAATCATGCAATAGCATGGCTAAAAATAAATTTTAAAAAGGCTGAGGCATTGTTTACCAACACAATTCCAAATTATAGCACCAGGTAAGGCAGGGATCTTCAAACCTGGTCCTTTTATGACTTGTGGACTTCAACTCCCAGGCACGCTGGCTGAGGAATTCTCGGAATTGAAGTCCACAAGTCATAAAGGCGCCACGTTTGAAGACCCCTGAGGTAAGGGATAAAGTTGCCATAAACAGTATATTAGATTTTTTTTCTTCCATTCAACTGTGCCAGTTTCTTAGAGACTACCTGAACAAGTCCCTGCAGTTTTCTTGGCAAGACTTTTCAGAAGTGGTTTGCCACTGCCTCCTTCCTCTGGTTGAGAGAAAGTGACTGGTTCAAGGTCACCCATCCGGCTTTGTGTCCAAGGCAGGACTAGAAATCAGTCTCCCAGCTTCTAGCCTGACCACTATACCAAATTGGCTCTCATTAGAATTTTAATTTCTCCTCAACAGTTTCCTGTTAAAATTGCTAATTTAAATTTGCTAATGCATAAAATTAAAGATCAACTTAATTATGACACTCATCCAAAAACTATTTTAGTGAAAACTGTGTCTTCTTAAAAATACCTCTACTTCTTAAATTATTTAAATCATTCCTAAATACTACATATTTCCTTAACTAGCAAAATTATTTTTGGCAATTTCTAAAAACAAAATTTGTATTTAAAAAAGAGAAACCAATCTGGGAAAGATTAATTTATTTTATAGGTTTTCAACTGATGCTTCTTCCATTATATTAAAATATACATTTTAAAAAATGAACAGAGATTGAAGAATTCAAACTATATAGTCAAAACTTGACATCTTTTTAAATGAAAGACTATTATATGTATAGAACATTCTGGATCCTAGTTTAGGCTTTTCTAATGAAATCTGAAAGTAGCATCAAAATTTGCCTTATAGACAAAGGAAAACAGTGCTATTTTATAAATGGAGGATTAGGCTATTTTAACAACAGTCCTTAAAGATGATGAAGTCCCTTTACGCTTACAGATTTCAAAGTAACTATTCTTGAAGTAGAGAAAAATATTAAAGGGCAATGTCAAAAAATATGCCGCATTATGAAAGGTTCTTGAATGCTTTCTGTTTAAAATATTTAGAGGATTAGAAACTGGGGATAAAAAAAGACATGTTGTAGATAAAGAAACAGTTAATAGAGGTCTCTCAAATCAATTAGAGAAAATGTATTGAAATAAATACAATAATATAATAGTATAATTCTTCAGGCAAATAGTTCAAGAACTATTTTTAAAGAGTATTGGGAGGCATGTGGCAACATTAGAATGTACTGGCATGGCATTATAGGATTGCTCCAATATCCAACAATTTTGGCAGTCCAGTTTTAGGTAAGTATATGTACCGTGTATACACCATCAAATTTTAGGTAGGTAAATATACCACTTACACCATCAGAATTGTTATCATGTATTGAAGGAGAAAACAAAATATTAAAATCAAACACATTATTAGAATTATTTAATGGCAGTAAAAGTATTTACAGCCCAGAAATAACATTTCATTTTAGACCTTTGCTACTCCAAATTATCAGAAATTGTTTTTAAGGCAAAAGCTATACACAAAATGCAGAGTTTTTGATACAATGGCTCTGTTCACCTAATCTGCAAATTTAGGTTGCTATAAATATAAAATCAATTTAGTGACATTTGTCCTCAACAATATACAAATTGTGGAATGAAGATAAATAATTTGAACAGGAGGGTTTAAGAATATATGAATATATACTGAGCATATTCTTGTTTTTTAATAACTTAAAATAATTTGAAATTTATTTTAATTTTTAATTGGTAATTGTTTACAGTTTAATTTTAGTGATTCATTAATAAACTGAAAAATTAATACCTTTTTAAAAGGCTGTTTTTAAAGTGTAAAAATGTCAAACTCCAATGTGAACTTTATTTCCAAGAATGTCTCTGGGATCACCAAATGTCTCTTATGAACTATCTAAAAATGAAAATGTTAAGTAGCTACAAGAAAGAGGATGAAAATAAGCAATGATAAGAGAGAACATTGCAGGTACAAGCTAATAGGGGGGTGGGGGTTATTATATTATTTTATTTTTCCTCTTGTTATTTTTTTTTATAGGATGCTTTTCTATTTAGGTAAGTCGCCTTGAGTCACCATGTACAAGTAAGCGGCAATACAAATTTTCTAAATAAATAAATAGGTGAAATATGAACTTTGGAATTTGTCCATAGGCATCTGAACAAGTGAGAGATAAATAGCAACCTTTGTTTGTTATGTCATTATGCAAATGACAATTTACATTCTTACACATGACATTATGGGACAATTATATAATCCCATTACTTGTACAATGATGTCATAATGCACGGATTATTTTGCTATCTTGGGGCTTATTACAGATGTTGCTGAACCTGTTATATCCCACTGGAATGCATTTTTTAAATGTTCCCTCAGAAATCATTTAGTGAACACATGTTGTCAAAATTCTAAATGAACCCATCAGTCCAAAAAAGTTGGGGGTCTGAGACAAACACTAAAGAACTGCCTTTTGTAAATTTGAACTGAAAACTGAAATATATATCAAGAATTATTAGAATTTTTACTTAAGATAATCTGATATTTCCAGAGAAAGACTTAAATATTAACTATATATTATGGGGACTGTTGTAATTGTTTCTCTATCATTTAAAAAAATCCAAGGATTGATTATTCAAATGCTTCTCCATATCATTTTTATACTCAAATTTATTACTCTACCCTAGAGAGTCTTTGAGACTCACATAGTTCCCTCAACTTCACCAGTTTAAGAAAATTACTTTCAAGTTGAAAACTGATCATGACAAACAAAAGGGAATAGCCATTCTTCACTTGAAATGCAAATTGGTTTTTTTTTTTAATATTCCCTCTTGAATTTAACATAGCTGCCTTTGGTAACTGGAAGGACTCCTTTGGTGAGGAAAACCAAAATCCTTTCTATAAGGATAAAGAATAGGATTGTAATGTTCACTTATTCTCTCTCCTATGCTTCAACCTCTGATAATAGCTGTTTGAGTAGATATCCCAATCATCCTGAAGAAATTTTGAAATATAAGAGAGAGAGAAGAGTATCAGCAAAAATCACTTGTGAGATTAACCAGTTGGTTCCATTCAACTGCATTTTAAAATAGAAAATATACAAAAAGAAGAGAAGTAGAACTCACTCACTTGAAATACCCTAAATAAAACTAGGCAGATTATTTTATCAAGTTTCAAGCAGTTTTTCACATTCAGCTGGCTTTTTATACTTTTACTCACCAGCTCGGAGGGGTCGTGGAACTCCTCCCACAAAAATAGTTTTTCTGGGGTCTAAAGGTTGAGAACCATCCATTACAAAGTCACTGTCGCTTAAATTCCAAGGTCGAATTTGTACCTGAAATATTCCAAAAATCAGCTTCCTTTTAATCTGCCTTTTGAAAATTAATCTAAGACCAAACAACTTTTATGCAGTGTCTTAACTATCTATAGGTATCAAAATCAACTCGTGGGCTGAATGTTTTAGAAGTCATTTTTACAAAAACATGTTTTCCATGAAAACCTGCAGTAAAACCATTAATAACATCTACACTGTGGCTTAACCTTATTTCATGGCTATATTAACCAAGGAACACCAAATACACATTAACCTTTGCCAATATGGCAAGATAGTCTCATTCATTGGTTGCCTAGAAAATGATAAATTTCGATAGCTTATCCCGGAATCTCTTCATTCTTACTTTTACAATAATGTGTGCCAATCACAATATCAACTTGTTTTGCAAGTAGGAAAGATTGATTAATGCTTAGTGTAAGAGGTTCACTTCCGAAAGGCATAGCAACATAGAATATTAGGATAAGCAGACAGACATACAGCTTACTATTTTATTCAGGATGCCCACAAAATGTGTAAGCTTACTCTCTGAGACATCAGAGCAATATAAGAGACTCTAGAATATCAAGACAACTTAGGTCAAATGTGAAGCATCCAATATACCAAGCTATATACCTATGATGAATAGTTGATAAGTGACCACAAGATAGTAAAGCACCTGCAGACATGAAGATGTGAAGGTTTTGCTACTGCAACATGAACAATTTTGATGAAAAACACAGAACTTACGATTCAGAACAAAGATAAGATAGTTCATAAACTATTTGACATAATATGTTTTTTACAAAGTACTCAACAATTTAATTTATATCACAGAATTTTTTTTTATCTTTTCAATCTTGACTCAAATTACTCACTCAATTTTTTTTCTTTTATATAAGAATAAAGTCCAGTCTATTTTGTAGTTTACATAATTCTTCTGTTTCTATAATTAATAACCTTTCCTTTAAAGTATCCATTTTTGCCATTAAAATCTAGGAAGCGACCAAATCTTAGAAGCAAAAAAATACACATAAAATGATTCACATGTATTACTGACCACAACTGGACTGACAACTCTGACACTAAATGATATATTTGTAAAATGAAAAATCACATGACCATGACCATCTTGTGATGGCGGTTTGGCAGTTCCAGCTGCAGTCATTAAGAAAATCACCATGGGTCATTAAAATTGATGTCATGTAACATTGCTTCTGCTGTCTTCCCCATTGACTCTGCTTGTCAGGAGCTGGCTGTGAAGGTTGAAAATTGTGATCATGGGACTGTGCGATGATGCAACTATCTAACTGTATGCCAATGCCACCTAGGAAGACCAGTTGTAAGTCTCTTTATTCGGTTCTTTATAACTTCAAATGGCTGCTGAATGAATGGTCGGTAAGCAAGGACTTTTTGTACATGCATGTAGGATCTTAATTCAGAACAAATGAGTACTAGACAATCTAATGGCAGGATTGGTTCATGGAACTGGAGGGCCAATTTTATCACCAAATTTTCGTACACAAAACCCTCAACTGCATATAGATTCCTGCAAAATGTGATGCTAAATCTATATATTTGAGATGGAATGCACACAGAATCTGAACTAAAAATTAAATATTGAACATATTTGATTTTTTAAAAAATCATCTCAAAATAAAATCTGCCTAGGAGAATGTGTTGATCCAACCAACCCATTTGCTAAAACTACACTACCCGTACTCTACACTACAAATAGACTCCATCTGTCTGCTCAAAACCCTCATCAAACTGGATCTACTGACTGGCTAATATAAAATTGCCCATCTGAAAATTCTTTGGCCTGTCTCTTGGGGCAAGATAATGTAGCAGGTAGCTATAGTTTCTGAGTTTTCATATCCTCACTGCCTCATTGTCCCCTTGAGCCTGCCACTCTGCTATATTCCTCCCAGTCTCGGAACCAATGCAGCTTGCTATGGTCCACCTCCCTTGAACTGGCTAGGTAGAAAGTTAAGAAGCTAGGTAAGATAAGGTAAGGTAAGGTAAGGTAAGGAAGGAAGGAAGGAAGGAAGGAAGGATAAAAGGGATAAAAGTCTGCTATAGGAAGAGCAGTGCTTCCCCTCTTCGTGACTTTGCTTCTCAAATTAAACATGCACAACTCTAAACGAAATGCTTGTTATGATTTCAATAGATAACATATTAAGGTTTAAATAATATTTCCTTTAAAATGTCCTTCTAGAAGTACTATAAGAAAAAGAAACCAGGATTACAGAAATGCATTCCTAATTTCATTTTATATAAAGGGGTTTATATTTCTTGAAAAACTGCCTCTACCCCCACCTAATACCACATGTTAAATTCCTTTCAATATGGAGAAGATTTTTTAAGTAATTTAAAAACATGGCATGCTAGTTTATTTGCTTTTAGGAGGGAAGAAAATAATTAAAAAACTCCTTATGTGCCAATCCTTGCAAGACAAAGGATGTTTAAACAATATCATCTGCAATCAAAAATTCAGTTTGTGCTACTTAATAACATTTTAAAAGCTAAAGGAAAGTTGTGTGAAAAAGGGATGCATTTATTTACTTAGGCTAAGAGATCTGTCTGAATGGAAAGTATTTAGTTTGTTCATTTAATCAGTTAGCTAACTGAATGCAGATAAGCTCTTGAATATTTTGTACTGAGCATTTTTAAAAGAACAAAATAAATCTGATAAATCTTATTTACAAAGTAAGTAGATATTACATATTCACAGCTAATACCATTTTATTTATTATTTAAAACTTTATTCTATGTTAAATTTGTGCACTCTCCCATCAGTAACAATATAGGGGGAAAGTCGACTGATAAATCTGAAACAGTGAGTCAAGTTCTTTTTCATTATTTACTATATTGGGACAATCACTGTTTCCATTGACCCTTTTTAGTAAATAGCCCAATATTTTACATTTGCATTATTCTAGCCAATCTTTTTGAACTGAGCAGCATATAAGCCACATGTTTATATACTGGTCAATTCCATATATATCAAGAATATTGTTGTTATTCCTCTTACTCAGCTGAATGTTATATGATACAGACAAGAGCACATTATTTGATGCTTTTATGCTAGTTATGATTCCACTTCATTGTATATTATAAAGTACATTGTGCTCTCTCTCTCTCTCTCACTCTCTCTCTCTCTCTCTCATTGTGCGAGAGAGCACAATGTACTTTATAATATACAAATAAGAATATAAACATACATACATAACAAATAAGCAAATAACTACCACAATTTCTTTCGCTCTCATACACACACACTTTATGTCTGTGTGTATGAGAGAGAGAGAGAGAGAAAGAGAGAAATTGTGTTAGTTATTTACTTACTTGTTATGTATGTATGTTTATATTCTTATTTGTCTGTTCAAGGAAGACAACAACATTTTAGTCTTCATTCTATATAACAGATTAAACAATCCACATGTTTAATCTCCCCAACTCTTTTGCGGGGAAAGTAACATGATTTGAAGTAACATGATTAAGTCAGCAGAATGTTGCATTGCTTACTGACCTTGGTCATAATGAATTAAACAGATACGTTGAATGAGCAAAATCAGCATTGAGGTAATTTTTTGTCTTCTTGCATTTTATAAACAGCTGTTTTGTTGAGATGAAGATTTTTTAAACACATATCAAAGACCAGGATAGAAGTTTTAGGATTCTCATTGTTCATAAAATGAATATAATGGACAATATAATGGATGCAATGATTATATTTGAATACATAGATGACCTTCAATGTAATCCTTAAGAAGATTTAAGTAAATTCAGGATTACAGTCCTAAAACTGCCATCATTAACCTGAATAGGTAACTCAGAACATTTGGTTTTAATTATTGAAAGAATTATTATTTTACTTACTGGTTTGTCCTTAATAGTGGGACTTGATACACATAAATAAAGTTTACCATCTTCTTCTAGACAGGCATCTATCAAAGCTTGAACAGAGCTTTCTTCCTGGAACAGCAGAAAAGCATAACCTTGGACAAAAAGAATAAAGTTAGTAAATACAAATTATAAAATACATAGCACAAATTAACCACAGACATAACATGAATGTTGTAAAATAACACAGTATCTTCAAAATGTCTTCAAAAACATAATATCTCTGATCCAAAACATAACATTGCAGCTTGTCCTTGTTTAGTGAACTTAATTGGGATTGGCAACTTAGTGGTTAAGGAAGAAGTTGCTAAGTGAAAACACAATTGTGCATATGATCTTACTTCAACTTATCTTCATTTTATAAACCTGCAAAGGTGGAAAATGGAAGGAATGGTCATAATGTTACTTTTTCATCATCATTGTAATTGTGAACAGTTGCTAAATGAAGCAGTTTAAGTTACTAAACAAGGACTACATGTAGTTATTTTTTTCACTTTTTTACAATTCACTTATAACTAGCCTGCCAATAAGCAATCATGAGATATCAAATATTTAATTGAAAGCAACATTTGTCTAAAGCATTCCTATAATTAAGAAAAGTTGTCCAGTCAATTATTAAATAAGGTTAGTCTGGCAGGACATGTTCTTGGCAAATCCATGCTGACTTCATATAATTACTGCATTATTTTCAGGGTGCTTATATATTGATGTGTTTATTAATTTCTCTAGGATTTTCTATGGTATCGGTATAAGACTGATACTATACAGATTGCTGGATCTTTTTTAATATATTTTTCATATTTTCAAAGACAGGGACAAGATTTGTTCTCCACTCACCTGTTACTTATTTTTCCATAATTATTCAAGGATAATATATAAAAATTATAGCCAACTTCTTTGGTATTCTGGGATACAATTTTTCTAGCCTAGAATTTTTAAACTTATTCACTTCATAAGTTTAAAAACTCTAGGCTAGAAAAATTGTATCCCAGAATACCAAAGAAGTTGGCTATAATTTTTATATATTATCCTTGAATAATACTTCATAGTAATAAGTTTTATTCTGGCTTTCACAATTATTTAGTGTATCAAATATTTTCTTATTAGAGACAACTGAACCAGAGGAATGCTGTGGATATAATTTACTTGGATTTCAGTAAGGCATTTGATAAAGTAGATCACAACCTACTACTCGATAAGATAGAAAAATGTGGGTTAGACAGCATCACCACCAGATGGATTTGTAGCTGGCTGACCAGCCATACTCAGCATTTGGTCCTCAATGGAACCACATCTACATGGAGGGAAGTGTGTAGTGGGGTGCCCAGGACTCTGTTCTAGGCCCAGTGTTCTTCAATATCTTCATCAATGATTTGGACGAGGGGATAGATGGGGAACTCATCAAATTTGCAGACAACACCAAGCTGGCAGGAATAGCCAACACTCCAGAAGATAGGTTTAAGATTCAAGAAAACCTGGACAGACTTGAACACTGGGCGCTATCTAACAAAATGAAATTCAATGGTGAAGAAAAGTAAGGTTCTACATTTAGGCAAGAAAAACCAAATGTACAGGTATAGTATAGGGGGTACCTTGCTCAATAGTAGTAACTGTGAGAGGGATCTCAGAGTCCTAGTAGACAATCACTTAAATATGAGCCAGCAGTGTGCTGCAGCTGCCAAAAAAGCCAACACAGTGCTGGGCTGCATTAACAGAGGGATAGAATCAAGAACACGTGAAGTATTAATATCACTTTACAATGCCTTGGTAAGACTACACTTAGAATACTGCATCCAGTTTTGGTCACCACAATATAAAAAAGATGCTGAGACTCTAGAAAGAGTACAGAGAAGAGCAACAAAGATGATTAGGGGACTAGAGGCTAAAACATATAAGGAACGGCTGCTGGAATTGGGTATGTCTAGTTTAACGAAGAAAAGGACGAGGGGGACATGATAGCAGTGTTCCAATATCTCAGGGGCTGCCACAAAGAAGAGGGAGTCAAGCTATTCTCCAAGGCGCCTGAAGGCAGGACGAGAAGCAACGGATGGAAACTGATCAAGGAGAGAAGCAATTTAGAACTAAGGAGAAACTTCCTGACAGTTAGAACAATTAACCAATGGAACAACCTGCCTCCAGAAGCGATGAATGCTCCAACACTGGAAGTTTTTAAGAAGAGACTGGACAACCATTTGTCTGAAATGGTGTAGAGTTCCTGCCTGAGCAGGGGGTTGGACTCGATGACCTCCAAGGTCCCTTCCAACTTTATTATTATTATTATTATTATGGATCATCGCACAGTCAGCCAGATGTTCAGACTGGATTTGGCATTTTGTCTACCTATCGAGTCCTTACCCAGGACCTGGGATAGGCAGATGTGGATGTTTGATGGTATTACAGATATCGTCGCAGGATGGAAGCAGTTCCTAGTAAGGCCGCCTTTTGCAATTGACTAATAGCGAATTTGTCAATGCCAATGGTGTTCAAGTGGTGCTCCAGTTGTTTTGGGATTGCACCCAAGGAGCCTATTACTATTGGTACTACCCTTGCTTGCTTTTGCCACAGTCTTTCTATTTCTATTTGTAGGTCTTTGTATTTTGTTATCTTCTCCAGTTCTTTCTCTTCTATTCTGCTGTCTCCAGGCACTGCCACATCCACTATCCAGACTTTTTTGTCTTTCTTATCGACAATTGTTAAGTCTGGGGTGTTATGTTGCAGGTGCTTGTCTGTTTGAATTCTGAAGTCCCAGAGCAGTTTAATTTTATCATTTTCTATGACTTTCTCTATTTTATGATCCCACCAGTTTTTGCTTACAGGCAAATGATATTTTTTGCAGATCTTCCAATGCACCATTGTTGCTACTTTGTCATGCCGCTGCTTGTAATCAGTTTGTGCAATCTTCTTGCAACAGCTTACCAAGTGGTCCACTGTTTCTTCAGCTTCTTTGCATAGGCGGCACTTACTGTCTGTTGCTGTCTTCTCAATTTTGACTTTGTATGCATTTGTCCTTAAGGCTTGGTCTTGTGCAGCCAGAATTAGTCCCTCGGTCTCTTTCTTCAATTTTCCTGCTCTTAGCCATTGCCAGGTCTTGTTATTATCTGCTTTCCCAGCTATTTTTTTCATGTATTGGCCATGTAGTGCTTTGTCTTCCCATGCCTCTATTCTGTTCTTCATTTGGTCTTTCTTGTAGGCCAGTTTGGTCTCTCCAGTAGTTAGTAAGCCTTCCTGATATACTAATTTCAGTGCATCTTCATCATTGTTCTTCAGATATTCTTCCAAAGCCATTTTTTCTTCTTCAACCATCTGATGTACTTGTAGCATTCCACGCCCACCTATTTGCCTTGGTAGATAAAGTCTATCAATGTCACTGCGTGGATGAAGGGCATGATTCATTGTCATTATTTTTCTGGTCTGCCTATCCATTGCTTTTAGTTCTGCTTGAGTCCAGTCCACTATTCCAGCTGTGTACCTAATGACTGGGATTGCCCAGGTGTTGATTGCCTTTATGGTATTTCCTCCATTGAGTTTGGATTTTAAGATCTTCTTCACTCTCTTGATGTATTCACCTCTAATCTTTTTCTTGACTTCAGTGTGCTTGATGTTGTCAGCTTGAAGGATACCCAAGTATTTGTAGTACTCTTCCTCATCCAGACTCTTAATGTTATTTTCGTGGGGCATCTTGATTCCTTCAGTTTTCACTATTTTTCCTTGTTTGATAGTAAGTGTGGCACATTTGTCCAAGCCAAACTCCATTACAATATCTTGGCTATATATACGGACAGTGTTGAGCAGCGATTCTATTTCAGATGATGTTTTTCCATACAGCTTCAGATCATCCATATAAAGGAGGTGGGATAGTCTGGCAGATGTTTTTGATGTTTGATAGCCATGTCCTGAGTTATTCAGTATTGTTGACAGAGGAAACAGTGCAATAACAAATAGTAATGGTGATAATGAATCTCCTTGAAATATTCCTCTCTTGATATTAACCTCTCCCAGCCTCTCACCATTGATCTGCAACTGTGTCTTCCATTGTGCCATCGATCTTTGCACAAATTTTCTGATGTTTCTACTGACTCCTGTTATTTCTAGGCACTTTATTATCCAATCATGTGGCAGAGAGTCAAATGCCTTTTTGTAGTCAATCCATGCCACATTCAGGTTGGTCTTCCTTCTCTTGCAGTTTTCCAAGATCATTTTGTCTATTAGGAGTTGATCTTTTGTTCCTCTGCTATTGGGGCGGTTTCCTTTCTGCTCAGGTGGAAAGAGATTGTTTTCAACTAGATGCTGTTGCACTGCATCAGCTACTACACCAGTTAGTAATTTGAAAGTTGTTGGTAAGCAGGTAATTGGCCTGTAGTTACCTGGTGTTGCCCCTTTTGCTGGATTTTTCATTATTAGGTAGGTTTTCCCAGTTGTTAGCCACTTTTCAATTTCTCCTCCTTGTAGTATATTGTTGAATTGCTTGGCAATGAGTGGGTGTATAACAGTTAGATGTTTCAACCAAAACCCATGCAGTTCATCTTCACCTGGTGCTGACCAATTTTTGATTTTCTTTGCTCTTTTTTCTACCATTTTTGTTGTTATTACTAGTTCTTTCATTTCAACTTCTGTTTTATTTGCATCCACCTCTTTTAACCAAGCCGCATCCTTGTTGTATTTCTTTGGGTTATCCCATATCTGCTTCCAGAACTGCACTGTTTCTTCCTTGTCAGGTACTGACTGATTCCTTGCAGTTTCTCCATTGATGGATTGGTAGAAACGTTTCTGATTGGATTGAAATTGGAGGTTCTGCCTATAGTTTGCAATTCGAGCTTCATATCTACTGATTTTCCTGGCTATAGCTGTTATTTGTTGCTTTATTATTTCCAGTGCTTCCTTGATCTTCCTTGTTTCTAAGTGGTATTTCTTGATTAGGTATTCTTTGGTCTTCTTGTTCTTCAGCTTCTTTTCTTTCATCTGTTCTAGCTTGCTTGCATGTGATCTTAACTTGCTGATCTTATTTTCTAGTCTAACCTTCCATTTTTCTGGTGCACTGTTTGTTTGTTTTTCTTTTTGTTGATTTTGCATCCCAGGTATTCTGTTATAACTGCAG